AAACGGGCCCGCGTCATGTGACCCAGTTTGATTGGATCGTCAGTCAGAGTCACAGCCGCTGCTTCACCCGGGATTTCTGCTCTGTATTTGAATGTGAAATACTCGAATTCGGCGATTTTTACTTAATAAAAAGTCACTTGAACGCAGCACTCACTTCACGACAGAATTAAAAAAAAAAAAAAAAACGAGCCACGCTGCCGTGATAATTTCCTGAAATCTGGACGATAATTATCGTCAACATAATGAGGGTAAGTCACACGAAACAAAACACTCACAAACAAACTAACGATGAATAACTAAAATTATTAGACCACGTTTCAGGAGAAAATGTCTTTTGGAACCAAAGAGCAAAAACAATCATTCCGGGTGTTTACTGCAGCGGAACAACTGGTTTGATTGTAGCATGTTAGTAATATGGATCCATTTGGACCATTAAGAACCAGAACCTGTTGTAAAACAAACACTCGAACAGAACATGTGATAAAAGCTGTCTAGGTCCGGTGTCCAGGTGTCCACGGTGTCACCGAGGACAGAATAACGATGTGCTCTGTATATGCAATATGTTTCTAGGGCTGAAACGTGTATTTACTTTATGCCCCAAAAAATGTATAAATGTATGACAGTTCAAAACGTTTGGAGAAAAATTTAAAAAAAAAAATATATATATATATATATACACGAAATATAAAAACAGAAAATGTATTTTAATGCATGCAATTTGTATTGAAAATGGCAAAAATATATTCTATCTCAAATTATTAAAATTTGACCAAAACTCCTCACTGTTAAAAAAATAAATCCCCCAAATCCCAAAAAATACAAAACATTCTCCAGTGGAAAGATTTCATGTTAGAAATGAAAAAAGAAAAAAATGTGATCTAGGTTTTCCATGGGGGGGTTACCAGTCCGAAACAGGTTTTAGAATTTGAAAATTGACCCCAAAATAGATTCAAGATTCAAAACTATTATTTTCATATTCAACAGAAACAAAGTTTTTCAGCAGTGAAATTCATTTCCGTCAACAGTGAAGCTGTTACCAACTGTGATGTGTTCAGTGTCCAGCAGAGGTCCTCGCTGAAGTGGACGTCCAGGCCTTGCTCTACCACATATGTGAAAAGAATGCAATAAAAAAAAAGCCCCAAAACATGACCCTGACCCTGACCCTGACCCCCCAGTAACCCCCCCTCAGTGACCTGTCCCGTGGTACTGACCTCAGATGAACGGCGTCCTCCTTCGTCATCTTCCTTCATTAGTACCACCACGACACTGCTGTCACTGAGCCGTACAAATATGTAGCATGTAGGCTACGTAGCAACAGCGTCCACCGTGGAGCGCTGTCCCTCAGACCCACGTCTCTCTGCCGGACTGGACACGTCTGTGGAGCGTCTGAATCCACGGACCAAACCCACAGACGGTTAGAGTGGAACCGCGGTTCTGACCCGCAGAACAGTAAGTAGTTTGACCTCTGTGACCTCTGTGAGTTCTTTAAAGTCTTTAAAGTGTGTGTGTGTGTGTGTGTGTGTGTGATCAGACCCGTCCTGGACCAGAATGACTCACGTCCAGAGGTTCCATGGAATCCCCATGTCAAAGGTGAGTCTTCACCGACTGCTGGTACCGATGGCTGTGACTGTAAAGTACCAGCACCGACAGAGGTTCAAGTTCCTTCAGGAACAGTTCTAGTGACGTGAGTGCAGTGAAACCAGTTTGAACCAGTTCAGAGCGGCGTCTGAGGTCAGGTTCACTTCAAAGTACAGCCGCTCTGACTGTACTCCTGCTGTTGTTCTGTTGTACTGCCCCCTGCTGGTCCCTGCACACTCTGAGTCTGGACCTGCTCTGTCTTGGTGTTTCTCCAGATGTTTGGTGGGTTCAATTCTTAATTTCAGTCTGCAGATGGCGCTAACGTAGGAGCGTCTGTATTTTGTGGTTCCAGTCGATGAGAGGTCTGTGTAAAGAAGAGGACTACGTCTTCCTGGGGACAGACAGGACCACCGCAGACAAGGACGCAGCGGAGACACTAGAGGGAGACAGAGAGAGAAGCAAAGACAGAGTAAGAAAAGTCTTCAACCAAACACCGACACTGGGGCAGTGGGGCAGTGGTGATTAGGGTCTCAGGTTCGAGTCCACCGAGCTGCCAAGTTACCACTCAGGTGCTCTGAGCTTGGCACAGTCCCCACTCACTGCTGCCCCCTGCTGACTGTGGTGATGGTCGTCTTCATGTCGTTCCAGCTCCGCCGACGACTGCAGAGAGAAGAAGAAGAAAAAGAGAGGGTGAGAGAAATGGAGGAGAAGAAGAAGGTCAGTGTACACACACACACACACACACACACACACACACACACTCTGTTGTCAGTGTTTCCACTTCAACACTCCACAGGAAGTGGATGACAACATCAGAGGGAGTCGCTCTCACCTCAGTGTGGAATGTTCCTCACACACACACACACACACACACACACACACACACACACAGACGACCCCAGTCCCATGTTTACCCGTCTACATGTGGGACGACATCTTCACAACTGACCAGATGGTTGATGACCAACGCTGTGCTGTGATTGGACGATGGACTGAAGTTTCAGTTCATCAGTCAAAGACAAGTCCATCTGGAGACCAGTGGACCAGAGGTGGAGACCAGAACCATGAAGATGAAGATGAAGATGATGAAGATGATGATGTGTTTCAGGAGAAGGAGGAGCAGTGGAGGAGTCACGTAGAAGAAATGACCTGCAGCCAGAAGACCAACCTTCAGGAACGTCTGTCCAGAATCAGAAGATTCAGGGTGAGGATGTCTGTGAGTCTGTAGTGTCTGTAGAGTCTGTAGTGTCTGTAGAGTCTGTAGAGTCTGTCTCCTGAACATTCTCCTTCTTCTTCTTCTTCTGTTTGTGCTCCAGCAGAGGTTCCAGAGGAGGGTGTTGGGGGAGGAGCCAGGACTGGAGAGTGGAGAACGAGACCACATTCTCAACCAGCTTCTCACCAGAATGTAGATCAGGAGATGTTCGCAGGTGAACGTCACATGGTAGAAACAATATACATATATATATACACACACATATATATAAATATATGTGTATGTATACATATATGTACACATATATGTGTACATATATGTATACATACACATATATTTATATATATGTGTGTGTATATATATATGTATATTGTTTCTACCATGTGACGTTCACCTGCGAACATCTCCTGATCTACATTCTGGTGAGAAGCTGGTTGAGAATGTGGTCTCGTTCTCCACTCAACATAAAGGGTGTGGCCTCCATCTTGACCACAGGTTTACAGACGTTTCCTGGACCATCTCTGGACTGACCAGTCGTGGTCTTCAGCTGCTCAGATCTTCAGGTTGTCGCTGGTCACCTGGTTCGCCTCCTGGTCCAGAGCGTGGAGCGACTCTCCCTGGACCTGCCTGACCTCCTGCAGATGTAACTGATTCAAGTTAAAGTCGATACTTTTGGTCCGTTTTACAGCTTTTCCGATCAAATAACTTCTGGCTAACAATCGACTATTTCTGTTCCGCTAACTGTTCCCCAACTGTGCGGCAAGCTTTTCAACTTTTAGCACCAAATTATTTGGCTAAATCTAGTAACAATTGTGCAGGACATCTTAGCACCAATGCTAAGCTAATTTTCTCAAAATAAATAAATAAAAATCATCTTTGCCGTTTCGTTTCTGCTCCTCTTTTTTCCTCCAATATATTTTGGTTTCTTTGGTGAAACTCATTTGACTTTTTATGGACTTGCGTTGTTTGTCGTGTTTGTTTCAGTGGCTGTGGCAGAGTGGTGAGTTTAGGACCAGAAGGTTTAAGGTTCAAGGCCAGCAGCTGTTCAGTTATCAGCGTGGTTTGTGTTTCTGGGCCTTTTTGTATTTTTATTTTTTCGTGATAGTAAGACTATAGTCTTACTTGCTACCAGTTAGAGCGCCCCCTTTCCTTTCAGCAGTAAAAACAGTTTTCTCGTTTTATCATATTTCTGGACAGTAAAAGCATCGAGGAGTCAGACAACAGATGACAGTTCCCAAACTAACCTCGATCCTTGGTGTCGTCACGGACTCCAACGACGCGTTGCTGCTTCGGTTCGCGGCCATTTCTCTAACATTTGCAGCATAATTCAGTACAAAGAGTTGCTGTGGTTGTCCTCCGGCTGCACCGACAACAGTCGCCTGTTTGAGCCGCACGTATCGATCAGTCAGCGTGTTATGTTGCGACTTTAGCCCCGTGTGTTAGCGAAGAAGCGGCTTGTTCTGTGGGGAACTGTAACGATGACGAACCCACGAAGAAGACGGAACATTGTTATCGAGGGTACGAATTTACGTTTTCATTATTTAAGCGTGTGTGAGAAATTGAAGTAAAGCCCTTCAGGTGTAGCAGTAGACCCACATCGCCCTCTACTGGGCCGGTGGACTCCACGCCAAGAAGTTCGAATGGTCTGGTTTCTGTTACGTGAACGACATCGTCCTTGAGCTGCTCAAGTAAGAAAAGAAACACTTAAAGTTTTTTTTTGTCACCGGAAGTGAAACTTTTGTACAGCGTTTACAGAGTGTTTACAGGACATCAGGGCCGGAAGAGCTGATCCTACACCGTGAGTTACCGACGACGCCATCTTTAAACCGGTAAGTCCGTTTTACTGTGAGTGACTTTTATTTTCCCAACTTCTCTGTGGACAAGTCTTTTCTGAAAATGTGCGTCTTGGGTTTAGATCGTGGCCAAAGTCATGGTGTACCGGCCGAGCGGTGGTCCGTCAGTGGTCCGTCAGTGTCGAGCCGATTGGACGTCACTATTATATATGAAAAGAAATAGATTTAAACCCTTCACAGGTATTGACAACGGAGTGAGCGACACCTACTGGACAAATCCAGTACAGATGAAAACAGTGTGTATAAAGTTTGACTAAATCAATCAGTTTAATGTTAAATAGAAAACGATGGCCTTTGACCCCTGGTTTACCAAGAAAGTAACTGTGAAATTCTCATTGCTTTAATAAAAAATACTGCATTTTGATTGACTTGTTTCATTAGTTACTGTTTAAAGTATTAAGTAGTAGCACAAAGAAACGTTGTCTTGACTTCATCTTGTGTTTTAGGCCAAAAGAAGAGGTTTAATAAAGTTGCTCCACTCCTGATGATGGACCTTTGACTCCTGTGGTTCAACATGTGGTTCAGAGAACGTGATCTGTCCATCTTTACCTAAAGTGTTAAAATAAAGTTACTTTACTTTGTAACTGAGGTGTTTTTACATTGAGTCAAAGGTGAGTTCCTTTAGTGTACACGTGTTGGTTTATAACTAACTAACTAACTAACTAACTAACTAACTAACTAACTAAAAACCTCACTATGACTTTGACGGTCAAAGGTAACTCAGTCATTGGTTCAATACCTGTAAATAAAGGCAGGTCACACCTGCTCCAACAACGTTCTTTACTGTGGAAGGTTGACAACAGTCTGTCAATCAAATACAGCTGCTTCCAGTAAAGTTGAAGAACAAGAAGGAGCTGGAACAACAACCAGAAGCTGAGACTGTCCTATCAACAGTCGTACAAATTCAAGGAGTTCAACTCTACATAAAGCTAATGCTAACACCACGATGACATCATCTGTACAACAATCCACTGAAACACCACCTGACCTCAGATCTGCCAATCCTGGAGAGGTCGGAGGTCGTGGTCACTTCCTGCTCACCTCCCATAACCACCTACAACACACAAGGTTGGAGGTCACTGTTGACCTACGAGGACACGCTGCACAGCGACAACTTCACCTCACCTGATTGGAGAAACGTCAACAGTGGCTTTTACTCCACCCTCTGACGTAGAACCGTTAACAGTCGGGTCACTTTATTGGACGGCAGTCTGTCGACATGAACACAAAACCAACCTCCATATAAATATATATTAATATGTCAATATATGTATATATACACATATATATGTATATATATATATATACACATATATACATGTATATATGTATCTTCAAATACAGGTATGATTCTCTTATTTCTGTTGTTCTACTTTGAGGCGAGGGGTCGGGGGGTGGGAATTCTCAAACACAGGGTCACTTCACAATCACATACTGTTTATAAACAACGACCAAGAGCTGAAGGAAAAGGACGAGTCGTTTCTTTATTCGCCTTCAAAAACTCTTCTCTTCCACGACGTGTCGTTCAACAACTGTTGTCCTTGATGAACCACCGGTCTCACCGTCTCACCGTCGTCAGATGACGTCAGCCGATGGTGTCAAAACATTACACACCTTATGTTTGTCACAACTTCAAACTACAACACAGCAGAGGATAACTCTGCTGCTCCACGTGGACATTCCATATTGATGACGTCATACTATTATTATCCTACGACAGAAACCAGAAGGTCTCCTCCTCCTCCTCCAATGATGATGATGATGATGATGATGGACCGGTCGTGGTCCTGCGGTCGGACCTTCTGTCCAGAAAACTCCTGTCAAAGACCAAGTCCTTCTTTACACCGACAACAAGGAAAAACCAACTACGAATCATTCAACTTCCAACAACAGCTAACGTTAGCTGCCGAGACACAAATGCTAACGTAAGTCTCACTGACGGTCTCGACCGAACGACCACCGTTTCAAACTAAATACAACCGACAATTGTTTTCAAAAACCCACCATTTTAATGAGTCAGACTGAAGCCGAGCCCGGGTTTGTGACGTCAACGTCCGCTGAGAGACTGGTGGATTGCAACCGGAAATAAGGACCGTACAACGTATTCATACTTCCGTTATACAAACGTTCCAATATCAGCGAGCCCCCTACAGGTGGCCACTGACATTAACATTTTTATTTTTGCTTTTGTCTCTTAGAACTTTTTCTTTGATAAAAAGAGCGACTGTAACAGAAAAGCTTAAGAGTGAAAATCTACAAAAATAAATAATTTAAATATTATGCATATGTAAATATATATTTTTTATATACCATATATATAGTATAAATATGTCTATATAAATAAATATATATATAAATATATGGTGAACTTTAGTCAATCCTAGAAGGATGACATCCAAACTGAAGTCATTCTTGATGAAGAAAATGTTTCCTGTGAATCATCTCATTCATTCGACCACAGACCTAGTTAGTTAGTTAGTTAGTTAGTTAGTCTTAGTTCACTGACCAAACCAAGTGATTCCGAGTGAAGGTAGTCACAGAGAGGATGTGACAACATCCACAGCAGTACTGAAAGGCAGCGTTTCTTCTTCTTCCTATAACATCGTTCATGTGATTAATTATCACATTTAACCCTGAAAATACAGGTTATTAAAACAACACCAGGGGCTGTGACGGCCTGGCCCGTGGTAGCAGGAGTGGCTCCGCCTCGATTGGGGCACCGTGGTCAAAAAGGCTTCACATTTTTGTATATATATATATATAATATATATATCGAGTGAAGGTAGTCACAGAGAGGATGTGACAACATCCACAGCAGTACTGAAAGGCAGCGTTTCTTCTTCTTCCTATAACATCGTTCATGTGATTAATTATCACATTTAACCCTGAAAATACAGGTTATTAAAACAACACCAGGGGCTGTGACGGCCTGGCCCGTGGTAGCAGGAGTGGCTCCGCCTCGATTGGGGCACCGTGGTCAAAAAGGCTTCACATTTTTGTATATATATATATATAATATATATATAAACTATATATATATATTCAAGGATTAATTTCCTGAAGCATGCCATAATATATGTATATATATATATACACAGTATATGAGATATATATTTCAGTATATATTTCATTGTATAATTCAGTATATATTTCATTGTATATTTCAGTGTATATTTCATTGTATATTACAGTATATATTTCAGTGTATATTTCAGTGTATATTTCAGTGTATATTTCAGTGTATATTTCAGTGTATATTTCAGTGTATATTTCAGTGTATATTTCAGTGTATATTTCAGTGTATATTTCAGTGTATATTTCAGTGTATATTTCAGTATATATTTCTATGTGACTGCAGGAAAGAAGAGCTCAGCTGTGTTGTTTGATGATCATTCAGTTTTTTAATCCTGTGTGACGACACAGATCTCGGACCATTGGACCATCGGACCATCTGACCATCGGACCATCTGACCATCTGACCATCTGACCACAGGAACACACTCAGGAGTCACAGTTAAAGGCAGCTTATCTGTCATTGCACAAAATGGTATAAAATTACAATTTCAACAAGAAGAAGTTCACGACAAGAGTGTTTACAGTAGTACTACAGTCAGACCACTACAGTCGACAGCCGGTGTTGAACCAGAGGTTGTCCTTCCAATCCTGAAGTCAGAGCTGTGACATCATCTGAAGAACGCCACGTGATGCTGCGTTTACCGAAGGACAGAAAACTTCTATCTTTACTCCGATTCTACACAGGTCTGGATTCTAACCGGCAGCCGCTGTTGCCCGTCAGCACGCAGGCAGTCTAAAGACTAAACGGTTCCTTACTTCTTACTAATTAACTTCAGAATAATAACTAATGTGAAATGAGGAGGAGGATGAAGAGTCACAGCTGCTGCTGAACAACAACAGTCAGAGCTGTAGCTGTTCATTAACAAAGACTTTTATTTTGAAAACCTTCTCCAGGTCCTGACACCTGAAGAGTCTCGTCAAAATAAAAGTCTCTTCAAAAAGAGGAAACGGTCGAGGAGAGAACAGAGCGGTGCCCCCCCCCCCACATGGTCAGCTCCATGTTGGACTTATTGCTCGTCTACGCTAATAAGCTAATGTTTGTCTCTAAAACATCTGAGTTCATTTACTGGAGTTCTGTCAACAGTCGAAGGTGAGAACCGTTGGAAAGTCACCAGTCCAGACTCGGTACTTGACACCGAGGTTCAGGTTCAAACCTGGGCTGCAGGCAGTTCCACAGAGAACCTGCGCCGCGTCATACCGTGGTGTGTACGGAGTTCTCGTTCTCGTTCCTCGGTGATCGGGGACTCATTCTGGAGAACTGGCTGAAGCTGGCGGCCCTACACCGGGGCCTCGCCCCCTCTCCTCCACCTCCAGCTGCAGCCTGGGTGGGGCACGGGGGCAGAGTGCTGTAGCGACCCAGGCTGGGGAAGCCCTGGTCGCTCAGCTGTGCCGGCTGGAGGTTGGGTTCCTTAGTGAAGAGGCTCTGGATGAGCTGGAACTTTTCCTTCTCCTCTGTCAGGAACAGTTCCACCAAGAGCTTCTTCTCCTGCGTCAGCTGCTCCATGATGGTTTTGGGGACATCAGGAATGACCCAGGCCACCACCAGGCTGAGGAACATCACGAGGTTCTGGAGGAGGAGGAGAAGAAGAAGAAGAAGAAGAAGAAGAAGAAGAAGAAGAGTAACATAAACAAACAGGAAGTGGAAAGAGTTCCACTGGAGAACTCTGTGGAACACGTTCTTCCCACGTTCTGTTCCAACACCTGAACGTCTCTCAGCCTACGTGGGGACCTGACGTCTGGGTTTGATAGCATACTGCCACCTACTGGACTGGAGTGTGTAGTGTCATGGTCTGACCAGTGACTCCTTACACCTTGATGGACCAGTCACTTTGATCCTCCTGGTGAGCACCTCCTGGTGAACACCTCCTGGTGAACACCTCCTGGTGAACACCTCCTGGTGAACACCTCCTTCTGTTTCTCACTGTTGCTTCAACACCTCCT